CTCCAAAGGACAGACAGGGGTATGCGGGTCAACGTTTTCACATTCACTCAAACTATATGTGCGGGTAGTTCTACAACAACTTTTTTTATTTTGTTTATTTGTCTTAACAGGCAGCTGCTCGTCCCAGCGGCACGTCTCTCTCCTCTTCTGGTGGCAGAAATCTCTTTGAATGAGGCGATGCCCCAAAACCTGAATGGACGCTTCTTGAATCGTATTTATGTGGCGATTCAGCATCGAAGCCTTCACATCAAAAGGGGGAGATTTTAACAATGTCAGTTCCAAACTTGTAGTTGTCAGACAATTGACTGAATGACTAGTCTCTGCATAACACTGCAGTGTGTACTATAATGTAACTCAACAGGTAATATATGCATGGCAGAATGTTTTATTATTATATTAACATAGTATGACTTCAAAGTTTCTTTAATCACTTTTATTGTCTTTGTAAATTATATTAAAATGCAATATTTTAGAACTGCAAAATACAATATGATATAAAAAGTAGCATCAAAATCATTAAGATTTTTGAGTAAAGATGTAAATAATAAATATGATCATTTTAAAATAGTTACAAATAGCCTTGATTCTGTCAATTATTCTGAAAAAAACCATAAAATCCTAAAAGTATGTGAACTTTATACATCCATATTTTTATTGTAATGTAAAAGAAATAAATGTATTTGTATTTATAAGTTGATACTTTTGCTGTATCTGTACTGCTTCACTAGAATAAGTATGAAGCATTATATACAGTTTGTTTTAAACATGGTTGATTTCATCATTTTACCCCTAAAACTACAGCCACATGCAACTACAAGCAACTGCAGCGCTTCTGTGTCTAACAATCATGGGAGGTGGGGTTGTTGATGACGTGTACTGCAAAAAAAATATTTCAACATTTTGGGAAGTACACGTCTTTGCTTTCTTGCTTGTATAACAACATTGATGCAGTTTAGGTCTGTGAAGCATGAGGCTCTGTTTTTGTACAGATCAAATTAGTTCGATATATTGCGTTGTGTCAGTGAGCTTTACTTGTGCTTGTTAGAGGATGTCTTTTGACTTTTGGACAGAGCCAGGCTGTTGCCCCCTGTTTCCAGTCTAAATGCTATACGCTCATTGGCTGCTGGCATCAATCTCATCTAACTATCTGCAAGAGAGCAAATATGCCTAGTTCCCAAAATGCCAAACTTCTCATTTAGGTGGTGTCTACGTTATAATGGATAGCTTTGACTCTGATGAGAGCTGGAAAGCCGAATGTTTTTTTCTTCTGTGAATAAAGCTTATCATCATTGACTGCAACGCTCCTCTGTCATCATGACTGTATAACGTTCTTTTCAGTTGAATTTGAAACAATCTTTAATAATTTCTGTACAAATTTACAGTATATTTGTAATAGACATTTAATGTGAGTTATATATTTATTATATCGATTTCTGGGTAAGATTAGACTGTTGGCCGCTGATCAAATGATGCAAAGACACTTCCAAATAAGTGAGTAAAAACTTTGTTATGGAGCCAGTTTTTCTTCTTTTCATTTTACAGCAGGTTTCAATTTCACCAGGTTTCAGTGGGCGTCTTGGATGAATGTTTTCTCACATTCCTAGGTCTAAGTGATTCAACCAATTAAGGAAAAAAAAGGCCTGTTGAAACATCAGTGGGTATTCAACACCTCTATCCCCCATTTTTTGCCTGGCAGATATCACTTTGATTCCCCCCCCCTGACACCCAGCACTCTGTTCCTCCACAGAAACTACTCACCGCTCTTTTCCTTTCACCTCACTTGGTACCAGTTAATTTGTTTATTAAAATGTGTTGTTTTTTTGGTATTGTCCATCCTGTCCCCACTTGTTTGACCATTATTTTTTCAGTAAGCTATTATTGACTATTTCATAAGGACAGGGCAGCAAGATACTTTACATTTTAAACTTCTTTTCAAAAGACTGGTTCATTTGTAGTGGGCTTTGTGACCTGAAAGTGTAAATCCCAGCCTGATCAAAGTATTTTTGCACTGAATTTCACCTTTGAATGAGCTATAAAGAATATATTAAACATTCAGAATGTGCCTTGATACAGTCCAGGCTGTTTGAATTAATATTCCATATAGGACCTATGGCTCGAGAAAAGAGTTTGTGGAGCGATGTTGGAATTAAATGTACAACAGTAATTCAATTCTGCATCAGCCCTCAAACGGAGACTATCACTATACTTAATGTTGTGATATTTTGATTTTGTGATTTTGTTATAAGGTTAAGAAATCATAAACATTAGTGAATTAAGAAATCATAAACATTAGTGAATTTACTCTCTATTTCTTCTTTAAGTATTTGCCAAAATTGTAATCATGAAGATATTTTTGAAGTTAGTGAAACATGCAGTGACTCATTGGCTTGTGTGTCGATCCCTCTGCATTGGTTTTCTGCATGATTTACATTTTGTGTATTTGTAAAGGTTTTGACAGTGGTGCTCGGGTGTACTGCTTGTTACATCGTGTCCCATTAATGAGAGCTTGTGCATGTGTAACTGAGAGCACTCCGAGTCATTTCACAGCAACGGCAATAAAATACAAGGTCCACCATCTAAATTTGCAGTTGCCATGGTAACGATCAGCGGGTTTGAGCCAGTGGTTCTTGGGAATGTAATACTGAAATGATATCTCTTATTTCATCCGGGGTGGCTGACCCAGTCACGTTACATTGGCATACTCTGAGTAGATGCTTAATTACACCTTATTAGGTATTAGATTAGATTTTCATAGAAGCAATCTTCAAAAGCAAAAATGAACATAATAGAATTCGGGTTCCTGCAGTTAAATAGTGGCCTTATTCCTCTGCTCCAAAACATGTGCCTCTTTAAGATGGAAATACAACATACAATGACGCCATAAGATTTACTGTCAGAGTCACTTAAAGGCCACGCAAACACTTTATCCTTTCATGCAGCATCTTTACCAAGAGTGATGCTGCCCTACATGAACACACCATTTTTGCCAAAGTGGAAAGAGTTTTGGTTATTCCACATGTTTTTGTCAGGGCTCCTCCCACTGGATCGAAGTGGACGGGGCTTAGTTGGAAAAGTGTGATGTTGCATATTTCCTTGCACCGATCAGGATTTAGCAATGTCTGACTCAAGATGACTCAGGCTAGGTGTTGACTCTTGATACATCATAACCAAGGATTTCTTTCCCCCAAACTTTAATTGGGATTTTCTTCCCTGAATATTATTAATTATTCAGGGCAGTTATTAATTAACTGAAAAAGCCTAAAACAATGTTTTCAGGGGATTTGATATAGAAAGACGCGTGTGTCTAATACAGATGTATTCAAACTGTTTGCTTAAAGCATTTTATGTTGGCATACATACCTTTATGGTACAAGAGTAAGAAACACACTCTGCAATAGTTATGACAAATGGTCCATATCCAGCTGCCAGAAGATCTGCGTGGCATGACAGCACTACTGTGGATGTCCTGTTCCGCTCATGTGCATCATGAATCCTCTCTGGTTTCCAGTCCGAGCAGCACAAGTCTGCATTAACAAAGGGCAGCGCTCTGTCATTATGAGTTTGACATGATTTAAAGATCTATCCTGTTTTCTTGTGGTATGAGTTCTGACATTGTTTGCTGCATATGTCGAAGGGGGGAAGAAAACGAATGGATTTACAGAAACCAGATGTGTTTGAAAATCAGCCAAAACCAAAAACAGTCCACTGTTATTGCTGCAACTGTTACAGCTCAGCAGCTCAGTGTGGCTGAGATGTCTTTCCTTGCTGTCTTGGCACATAAATGAAGTGTAATCTGAGTCAATGTTATTTTCATTAATCACCCTACTGGAATTCTGTGGCTAAACATAAACAAGGGGGAGACATTGGGGGTTGAAGGTAGGGAGGGATACACACACACACACACATATGTTATGTTTGTTTTTTTCATTGGTCGTTAATGTTGTTAATTTGGTACTGGCCTATTCTGCCATACAAGAATCAGCAGGTGGTCTTGTCTCCTGGACAGTCTGAAGTGGTCTGGAAGTATAACTACTCATCTCACCGGTCAGTCCGGCTGATGCGCACACATCTGGCACAAAGTCTGTGCCAAATGTGTGCGGATGTTGGAGCGTTGCTGTTGGAGCGTTCGCGCGCCAGAGAAAATGTGCACATGCATGTTTTTAGAGCCATCCACGAGCGTTTGCGCGTCTTGATCAACCACACATGCTACACAGTTTAGTGGCACATCACATAACAACTAGCCTACAGACCCAGTTTTTAAAAGGCATCTGACTTAGTGACACTACTATTTTTGGTGAATCTGATGACGTGTCCTCACACATAATGTGTGAGGGGGGGGGGGAGACGTGACCCCAGGTCCCTTGTGGCGATTACGCGCTTTGCACCGTGCACCCACTATGAACTGTCCTGCTGCAGGTTGGACTAATATTTCCAAGATCTCCGCAGTAGGCTGGTTGACACCACGTTCCCCATTGGAATGCATTGAAAAATATATAAAAAATAAAACAAAAATGGACCCGATAACTTTGACAGCAGGGTGGGAAGAGAGAAAAAAAACCCCGTCTGGCAGCAGTCGATATTAAAAACATGCAGAGGGAGACAAGCTCGGGGCCTTCCAGAGTCAGGAAAAAGACTTCGGAGAGCTGCAGACAGGAGATGGGTATGGCATTTCTATTTCCCCCCAGCCCATTGATTTGTATATGAAAACATAGCGCTTTTATTCTCCCCCCTTCTGGGCTCTGCTTCTGAGTGATCAGCTGATGAAGAGACTAGCGGCTCGCCGCTATGCTGGCTTGCTAATTCTCTCCCCCACAGCTGCAGCCGATCCCGATAGCCAGCCTGCAGATTGCAGTCAGGTAAATATCCTCCTCCATGTCTTTCTTCTCAGACTCAGGATTCAGCCGGGCTACATCGCATGGGAAGAGAGGAAGAGATGGATAAAATGTGTGTGTGTGTGTGTGTGTGTGCGGATGTGTGTGTGTGTGTGCGTGTGTGCGCGCCAGGGAAAGAGAGCGAGTGTGTGTGTTTGTGAGTGAGAGCAGGGGGGAGAGAGAGGGGTGTAGGTGTGTGTTGTAACAGATGAGAGGGAATCTTTGCCAGATTAGTCAGGAAAGAGGCAGGCTTGTTAGGAGATCGCACAGGCATGGAGCATCACATGCACACACACACACACACTGACACCCGTCCGCTCACACATGTACAGTGCACCAGGCAGCTCTCAGCTGTGTTGTACATCGTCGCGGATTACCCTCCATCCCTCCAGTATATTCCGCTGGAACGATTGCAGCCCCTTAGAGAGAGCAGCGGGGCTTTTAAAGCCTTCATTTGAGCCGAGCGATGATGAACAGGATTTCTTTTGTTACCTCTGTAGTGTTGTTGTCTCCTCTAACTCAATTCTCTGCTATGCATTGTGGGTTCGGATGTTGTGCAAGCATGCATTGTTTTATGTTAATTATTTTATTTTTTGTCACCATCAGTTCTAATTTTGTGAGGCTTGGGTAATTATTATAATTCTGCATGGTGCATGGTCCCTGTGCCTCTGATCAGTGTGTGTGTGAAAATACAATATTTCAGCATGCTTTCATCTTTTGTCCTTGAGAAATACATTTTCTCAAGCGCATGCTTTATTATATGATTTGAATGCTGTTGTGTGTGTGTGCACTGTATGAGCCGTGTGTGATTGATGCATCAATACTATGTTCGGATTGGACGGCATGCTTTCTCAATTTCCTCCCTCTCCTCCCCAGCTGGGCTGCTGCTGCTTGAGCTGCTCTTGCTGCATGCATACTCATGTTTCTGGCCTCTAATTGCCTTTGTGGAAAATACAGTGGTTGCAGCAGTTATTGGAAAAAGGAGCGATGAAATGGTTGAAAATAACTCGGCATGCAGCAGGCGGGCACCCTTCTCGAACGCCACATCTCATCTTTGTGCAAAATCAGAAAAAATATGGGTTGTTATTTCTTGCATTATTAAAATGTTTAGGTTCTGCGCTTCGGTATAACACGGCTTCTTCCAATCTATTCACAATCATTGTGCATTTTTTTTTAAATGCTGCCTTTCCCTCGATAATCATCTGACATCAAAGCCTCCAGATAAAATAGTCTGTCCTAAATTTGCAGAGACAGCACAGCGGTTGAGTCGCTCCACTTCATGCAAATTCATATGCTATTGTGATGAATAAATAAACACTCTTTCATTTGAATACAAAAAACACACTACAATTCTGAAAGCTTAAGCGCCAGTACTGCTAATAAGCTGGAGACTGTGAGTGTTGAATTGGATGGGCTTTAGATTTGGATTCTATAGATTGCTGTCTGAAGTGCTTCAGGTTTCTGTCTGAGTGGTTAATAAATACCAGTTTCCAAGCATGCCAACTGTCACATGAGGAAGAGTTCAGGTGAATGGAAGAGTTTTGAATGGAAGTCGGTCACAGCTCTCCTTCTGTCCTTCCACTCCCCAGTCGTTCTTGTGATTCTGAAGTATAAACTGAACAACACAGGAAGCATGTGACAGGCTCTGTGTGTACGGTGTATACAGTTTACATATTTCTATATCACAATGTGTCATTCGTCTTACTCCGCCGCTTGTTTGAGTTTGTTTGATGCCGCTTCCCTCTTCCTGCAGCCTGAGGCAGGAGAGAACGGTTCCCTGGAGGAGATGGAAGAGGACATCAGTCTGAAGAAGCGTAAAAGTGATCATCATGGGGAGAAAGGACTGCAGGCCGGCCAGGAAACTGGCGAAAAGGTCAAAAGGAAGCGAGGACGCCCACCTGCTGAGAAACTGCCTCCAAACCCACCTGAGCTCACCAGGAAACTGAGCACGCTGGTAGATATGGTTACCAACTACAAGGACGGGTGAGGGCGCTCAATTGTTGGTGGACTGCGTCAGGACACTGTGATGCATGTTTGCAGAATCCTATGCAACTTATTGTTTATAATGATCTCATTAACATGAACATGAAATCATTGTTTCAATATCTCAAAACACTGAAGAAAAGCTTCAGTTTTTTTCATGCTTGTATTCATTTTTCAAGCCGTTTAATCCCATAAAGCAAGTTAAAGTTAGAGTTAGTTACCTCAAAATTGTTTTGAACAAATAGTCTATGTGGTGGAATGTAAGAGTGCACCGTGCTGTTAATACCTCTGTATGGCTGCACTTAAAGGGGACATATCATGATATGTATAAGATCATCAAGACGACCCTTTCAGTATTTTGTGGTCTGTCAAGATCAGAAAACATGTGATTCAACAAGCCATTCAGATTTGGCTCTCAATGTTACATGCAGGCTCATTAGAATATACCGGCCCCTGTGTGAGTATCTTCACCCACGGCTTCAGAACTACCAGGTGTGCCATGTTTTTCATGTAGCAGAATGGGCTTTTTGCTGGAGGTGGGTTTAAAGAGACAGGCGCTAAAGCACAGCGTTGCAGACAGAGGGTGAATGCAGGTATATTCAGACAGGGAGAAAAACATGAAAGCATGTAAACTCTGGTAGAAACCCACTATTCAAGTATAAACCTGAAAATGAGCATATGTCCCCTTTAGGCACAGTGGTGCTTTGAGCTAAATGCCATGAATGTCAATCATGCTTACATGTTGATCAAACAATTTCTTGAGAAAATGACATTTTGCGAACTATCACATTGTGCTTCCAGTTTGGGTCGACAGATCAGCAAAGGCTTTGTGCAGCTTCCCTCTAAGAAGGAGGTACCCGAGTACTACGAGCTGATCCGAAAGCCTGTCGACTTCAGAAGGATCAGGGTACGTGTCACCGAACAGCCTCAGAACTCACAGACGGATATCGCCGTTATCTTATCTGCTGAGGGAAACTCAAATAAATGGAGATGAAACGGCAACTTTGAATTATCCTCTTTGGAATATAAAAAATAAGTGTCTTCCGAGTTTAAAAGGGAACAGTATGCAGCATTTAGGGGGATATATTGGCAGAAATGAAATATGATGTTTTTTCTTTAGTGTATTAGGCTCGTTCGAGATGAGCCAGTCCTGCGCAGAATTGTTGACCGGCGCTCGCGGCACAATGCATGCCGGTTAGATTTGTGTCCGACTTGAACCCACATATCTCTCCTACATGCTTGTTGTGCGGGAGAAGTTTCTGTTAGTTGCAATCTACAACTTCACCGCTAGATGCCGCCAAATCTGACACACTGGTCCTTTAATTATAAACACCAACATTACATTGTGAATTGTACTGTATGCCATTCAGTTCATCCTGACGGATGTGGGTGTCTGAATCAAATATCACGCAAAACAACAAATGTCAACCTCGTGGTGGTTCTGGAGGAAAGGTCAGGGGATCGCTTAAGTCTTTTTTGTGACTATAACCAAGTCTCGTTCGGAAATCACATTTCGCATCCACATTGTCAAAATCAGTTAAATATAAAATATATAAAATCAGATAACACTAAGCTACACTAGAGAACACTGGCACTCCTCTCTGCAACTCTCACTCACGCTTCCATCGCTGTCATCAGCCAACAAGTCAAAGAGAAAGGTCAAGAAAAACGCTTTATTTCTCTGTGGAGTTCCTTCCGTAATGTTTTGAGACAGCTATAATAACAATTTCAGCCTGTCAGTGACGAAAACAAGCCCTTTTAGAGTGAGAAATTGCACCGAGCGATTACATTGCAGCCCGTTTGGCATCTGCCGTCTGCAGCGTTCTCGGTCAATACTGGACCAGTTAAAAAAATGTTTGCAGTCAAGTTCACACACAAACATGGAAAAATAGGAAAAGTGCCAAAGAGGCCCTTTAAAGCATGCACTCCACTTTGTGGTCCACTCGAAAACTTCAGACTTGACTTGATGATTAAAAGGTTAATAAAGGAATAGTTCAGTGTTTTGGGAAACGTGCATTCGCTTTCTGACTGAGAGTTAGAAAATTGGTGGCGCTTTTGTACAGAAGAGTGGTACAGGTCTTCTCATCGAACTCTCGGCAAGAAAGAATAAAACATATGTTTGAGAAGAATACCCTCTCTCGGACTGCGTCTCGTTAATTGCTTAATTGATAGCTGATTATTTATTGCTGTGGTCACATTGAGGTTTTGATACTGACCCTCTCTTTCACAGGAACGTGTGCGTAATCATAAGTACAGAAGTGTGGGGGATCTGGAGAAGGACATCTTCCTCCTGTGTCACAATGCTCAGACCTATAACCTGGAGGGATCTCAGGTGAGCCCCAAGACAACCTTTCATCCTTTCAGCGACAATTCATTTATTTTTCAGTCTCTCCATTCTATATTATTGTAGTTGTAAATGGGTTTGGATCTGGATGTCGTGAAGAACATCCTGAGCTGTTTATGTGTGTTTACGTTTACCGCCGCAGATCTATGAGGATTCAATTGTCATCAAGTCTGTTTTCGAGAGCGCGAGACAGCGAATTGACACAGACGAGGAGCAGAAAGAGACGGTCAGCGCCGGTCACAGCGATAATGGCGGCGGAGCTGAAGACCAATTTGTTCCATCAGCAGGTGAGAGTTAAAAAACGGAAAACATCAAGAGGGGTTTTTTTTTTTACAAGTGACCAAATGAAAGTGATAGTAAGATGATGACACATACTCTGTTTAAAGATATATTTTAAATGATTGTTTGCTGGTTGGTCTAATAACTTGACTTTTGAATTACAGCAATTGAAAATGAACTTATCATACTCTCTGTTTTTGTATCCAGTGAAACCATTACCAGTCCAGCTAAAAAAGGGGAAGAAGGAGGGTAGAAGCAGAAATACCATGGCCAAGAGGCTCCACAGTGATTTAGACAGTGATGAGGATCTAGAGGACAGCACCACAAAAGATGAAGGTTGAACCGAAGGGCCCTCGGTTTTTGTTTTTTTTGTATTCTGGTTCATGTTTATTCTCTACCGCACCCCTTTACATTGGTTTCTTCATTTTCAAAACAAGACCGGAAGGACCCCTCAAAGAGAGCCACTTATGGAACAATGCGTCTTTCTTTTAGATGACTCATGCCACTCAAAACGCTTTTTGCTGCACATAGTGCTGTTCTTTTTCCTTTAGCTGTTCTTTTTTTATGATTTCCCTTTTATCTGTGGTTACATCTGCAAATATGATGTAAAAAAAACGGTTTCCTCTGACTGTTTTTAACCAATATATTTGATTGTCTAAAAATGCCTTCATAGGTCTTGGATCATAATACGTAAATCTCTCCTGAAGCTGGCTCGACGACGAATTGACAAATACCAGTTATTATACTTTTGTGTCTATTTCTGATTCTGGATGGAATAAGCTTGGGTCTAATCAAGGGTACTCCCGTCGAATATTTGTATCCCTTGTGCTACAGTATATCCACATATTGTACAGTTTATGTGAAAATGAATGAAAAAAATAAAATAAATTTCTTTTCATTTACTCTCTTGGTTGTTGGGGGGGGGGTGGGGGGATACATCATTGTAAGGACAATCCCTGGAAACATGTATCACTTAAACACTTGCAAAATAAATTTGACCAAAAGTCCCCCTGGTTGGTGATTATTATCATTATTATCAGTGGTAGCAGTAGGAGTCATTGTTTTAGTACTTGTAATAGTCATAAAGTCATGTACACACAGAACAGGGAAGTAGTCATGAGAGGATAATAAATTAATCTTGACATTAAAGCAGGAGATACTCTCAGAGTCAGCGTTAAGTTGTGTATGTGATATGTATTTTTGACAGTGTGCCAATAGGTGGTGCAATTGTGTCTGTATTAATGTTTGCCACATGTTTTCTTTAAGCACATGAAAAAGAGTCACCTTTTAATTATGTCTTGACCCGTTTCTTTACTTTATGCTCTATGTTAAATGCAGCAATTGATTAGAATATGTTTTTAACACTTGCGGATTAAAGGTCACACTAAACTCTGGGTTGTAACTCAAACACATTTTTCAGTAAAATTATGCACACACAAAAAAATGCAAAGATACAACACCAAATTTGTATTTTTGATCACCACCACTGTGTGACCTGGGGCCCATTTAGCAATTGAGACATCCTTGCCTTAGCCGTCATTTTAAAGTAAGGTCAGTTTCACCAGCTGTCCATTGTTTTGTTATCCCGTTGTATTTCATGATCTCTGTCAGGGTTAGGGTTAGATGTCATATACGTACAAATGTTTTTTAAATACGTCGGTATAATATTAAGGGGAAATGTCATTAAGTCATGCGGTATAGAACAGCGCCTTACGGGGAACCACACAAACTGTGAAGTGCAGAATGTGTGATCATCTCAAACAACTACAATTTGTGAATGCAAAAGGAACAGTTACATCAGAGTGGCGCCATGGTTTGAGATTGTTCCAGCTGTGTGTCGTGGCTCTTTAAATGTCAAAGATGCCGAAAAGACTGTCGGAAAGGATACACCACTCATCCCCGATTACAGCCCCTTGATCTTTGAGATGTGCTTTTGAATTGAGAAGTCCTTCAAGACTGAACTCTGAGATTGATTTCTGGCCCCATATATGTTTTCCTGCTCACAGTGTCAAGTGTTTCCAGCTCATTGATAGCACGCTGGTGTAATTTCTTTCACAACAAATCCTGACCTGGACATGCAAGTCCATAAAAAGACATGAGCATCCATTAATTGCACATGCTGCTAGAGCCCTTGTCATGTATGCTCATGCACTCAATTGGTAGTTGACATTTGATGATCGTCTCTCATATCTGCCTCTTATGTCATTGTCACGAGGGCCAGCCACCACTTGAAGGCTTTCAATCCTGGTCAGATAGGCTACGAGGCACCAATCAAAACCCAAGGGATGTACTTTGAAGTTAGATATGGGTGACATGGAAGCCATCACCAATTATCTCGATGTAACTTGAAATAAATTACAATAACTTCTGATGCCACCACGATGTCTGGTTGTTACCAAGAAATGGCCAGGCCACAGTTTAACCTGATCTTTCAGTTAGTGACGTCTGGTGGTTCTGTATACAGTGCATTCAGAAACCCTCACTTTTCACATTTTGCAGCCTTATGATGAATTAATTTAAATGAATCCCGCCTCCTCATCAATATACAGTAAACAGCCTACAATGACAGAGCAGAAAAAGGATTTGAGATTCTTCTTTATTTTAACAAATTTATTATAAAGAAAAAACTGAAATATCACATTGACAGGTATTCAGACCATTAACTCAGTACTTAAATCACCATTGACAGTGATTACAGGGTCTTCTTGGGTGTAACAAGCATTATACACCTGGATTTGGGGATTTTCTGCCTTTGTCTGCAGACTTTGAAGCTCTGTGGATGGTGGCCGTCAGTGGACAGCCATTATCCGGTCTCTCCAGAGCTGTTTGATTGGGTTCAAGTCCAGGCTCTGGCTGAGTTATCCCTAAGCCTCGCTTGTCTTGTGCTATGTGCTTAGAGTCATTGTCCTGTTCGAAGGTGAACCTTCGGCCCAGTCTGGGGTCAGTTTGGCTGGGCAGTCAGCGCTTAGAAAAAACCTGGTTGTTCCAAACTTCTTTCATCTAAGAATTATTGAGGCCGCTGTACTCGTGCGGAAGAATTTCTTTGTAGCCGTCCTCCTAATCTGTGTCTCGACACACTCCTGTCTCTAAAGCTCTGCAGGCAGTTCCTTTAACCTCATGGTTTGGCTTTTGTTTATTGTCAACTGTGAGACCTTATACAGACAGGTGTGTGCCTTTCTCCATCATGTCCAACCAGTTGAATTGATCACAGGTGGACTCCAATCAAGGCGTTGACGAATCTCAAAGATGATCCAGAGAATTGGAAGGGGCCTGAGCCAAATTGCCCAAAGTGTTTTACCAAAGGGTCTGAATACTTATGATAATCATGTTTCATTTGTTTTCTTTTAAATAAAATTGCTGTACTTTCTAAAATCCTGTTTCCACTTTGTCATTGTTGATTGTAAACTGAGGAGGGAAAAATAAATGGAACGGATCAAATCTAGCTTATTCATAGCCATTAAGGCCTAGTTTGGTGAGCAAGCTCCTGACAAAAAACATTTGGATCTCTTTTCCTGAGCAGATATTCAATTCAAAATTCAAAGACCAGCCACCTGTTAACTTTGATTCTCCACTGCTTCACTCTGTTAAGGTAGCATACAAAGAACTGTTGTGAGTATGTTTGATGGCAGCTTCCAACAGTTTTGTATTAATGAGACAGATGTTTGGATTTAGCACCATAGGCTGAAAAAGCTGCAGGGAACCTGAGCTGAGTCTCTGTGGGATTCTCTGTTAATGCAAACCTTTTACTCTTCAGGGAGTCATTTGGTCGGCCTGAATATGAAACTGTAGCTTTAAACTGCTCTTGTTTCAGTTGTAAGTGTTTAACTGTTTAACTCTTAAAATGTTTTACAGATGAACTTTGACTTATTTGTGGTGTACTTCCATACTTAAGTAACGTCATTTCCGTAGTCATTTTAACCCAAACATTTACCTTTTTGTAACATAACTTCTGTAGTTCAGTAACACCATTTTTGTAACATTTTTTGTTAGTTCAACCCAAACCCTAATCTTTCCCCTAACTAAGACATATTGTTGCCTAAACATTGCAGTGGCTTGCACAGATGCACTGATCGCAAGAAAATCGGAAGATACGAAGAGACGTTGCATTTGATGTCACATATGCAAGCAGTTTTTTACACAACATGTTTTTTAAGCTTTGAGCTTGGGGGAAGGTAGCAAGTATTAAATATCCAAAAGGCACAAGTCCAAGTGAAGGCATTGGTGTTTATGTCCAAGTGGATTTGCAATTATTTTGTCAAATTGCGTCTAAAGTCATCAAATTTGTTGTGTTGCTCGAGTCAATATCTCTAATAATTGGCATAAGTTAGCTTGCTAACATGCTAAACTAAGGTGGTGAACATGATGACCATTATACCTGCTAAGCATCCGCATGTTGGCATTGTCTTTGTGAACATCGTATAGAATGCCGACATTAGCATTTAGCTCAAATTGGTCCTGTCAGATGAGCGTGAGATGTACAAAACATTTAAATGCTTTCTTTACAAATACACAATGAAAAAGAGTCTTTGTTTTCCTCAGTGATAATATTATTTTCTTAATTGGTACCCAGTTGTTCTCTGTATATCTACAGTATATTCCAAAAAAGCTCATGAGAATATCAGGTTACTCATCAACACACCCCAATGTTACAGACATAATGTACTGTAGAGTCTATCATCTTGTTTTGTCAACGTCTGCAGTGTTCCTCAGGTGGAATAAGAGAACTAAATTAAATCAATTTACAGTAATAATGAAATGCAGAGTGTCAGAAGTAAAAAGCTCCTCAGATGTTTAGAGATTAACGAAGTGCTTAGTGTGGGGCCGCTAAAAGGCGTGGGTTCTTACAGTAAATAGCTCTGGGAAACAAAGTGGCACGCATGTCTTCTTGATGACAATCGCACATACAATGACACGTAAACCTAATGGACGAGCAAGGATAGAGATATTGCTGATGGTAGACGCACTAATGGCTTTTGGAGATTAGTGTGCCCAGAAGGTGACTTTAATCTGTTGAGGAGACAATCCATTTTCTCTTTACCCATAGGACACACATTTAAAAGACAGTTCATGGTGGCCTTCGCTAATCACCTTTAGTTGATCACATTTGACCTCATTGCTGTTTCACTGTCAGTCTTGGTAGGAAAATGTCAACACCAACATTTATTTTTGATTTTATGCTTCATTTGCCAGAAAAGGTGGGTTATTTTCTCATCATTTGTATGTGCTTTGTCTGCCAGCTATTGTTGAAAAAGATTTCTCTGTCGAAGGAGACTGAACTATTGAGCATCAAGTTTCCAAGTCACTAACCCAGACTGTCAAGAGCGCTGGCAAGTTGAATTATACATTAAATCTCATCAGCTGTATTCTGTCACAGTACACATATTAGTGAGACAGAACCACAGTATCAAGAGAAGAGTATACTGGATACAGCAGCTTGAGGAATAATCACCAGAATGTAAATTTCCTCTGCCGGTGTTCTCTGCTTCACTGACTACATACAGTGCACATATAAACTTTGTGATATTTCTGACAGCTGATCTTGTTGGAGACAGTACATTCTGTAGTCTACGGTGGTAACGTTTTGATTGGTAGGTGCTATTGACATTTTTGTTCTTTCTGGAGCTGTAAATAATTAATTCCAAACGAATTTAGGCGTTCTGAAGGATTGAATGCATGCTGTGTTTGCCAACATGCCGTTTCAAGTGAATCAACCAACTTCCCTGGTGTCTTGATATGTGCATCTAATGAGATTAAATAATGTGAGATGGCAAGACATGACATGCCATGAGGTGACACGAGATAAGATACGATAAAACTACACGACGATGACATTAAATGACATGACGTGAGATATAATGACAGTCAAGTGTCAAGAGTCAATTTTCATAACATCTGATCTTAAAATCACATCCTCTCATCAACAGACTTACGTGATGTTTGCAGTAATATTTACTCCC